TTGAAGCTAAAGGGAGACCCTGTCTCAAAAAGACAAAAAAAGATTTCTTAGAAGTCTGCTGATTAAATCCCTCAGGGGTGTGTGTGTGTGTGTGTGTGTGTGTGTGTGTGTGTGTGTGTGTGTGTGTTATTGTTGTTTTTGTTTGGGAGCATAGGTTGCAGTTTGGTTTGGTTTGATTCACAATCTCACTGTGTAGCCCCAGATGGCCTGGAACTCATTACATAGACTATCCCAGGCTGACCTTGATCTCACAGTGATCTTCCTGCCTCTGTTTTTCCAGTGCTGGGATTAAAGTTCTGTGCCACCACACCCTTGTTTTAATGGGATTTTTTTTCTTTATTCCTCTTTTCTTTTCCCTTCATGCCTCCAGACAGTCTCAGATTTGCCAGGTGACCATTTCTACCACAATTATTTTATCTTTGGAATCTATTCTATTTCCTTTCTGGGAATAATTCCCAGGGACCCAATGTTAGGTGTCTAGTACACCTAGTCAGAATGGACATGACCCCAGGCTTCAGTGATGTTTCAAAGGTCATATAATTTCCTTCCGCTCCTTAATAATCAACAGGAGTTATTTCATGACAATACAGAGTTCCCTAGATGCCTAACTGAGGGGAGATAAGGCTATAAATTCTGGCTTAATCTGAACCACATTTGTAATTCCATCTCACTGCATTAACAGAAAAATACTTTGGTAAGGGAATAGGTTAGAGAAAATATTGCTACCAATGGCTAGCCTATTTTAGTGGATGCAAAGTGTGTTTTAAGCAACATCCCTATGTTTATAAGTTTCTTCCATTTTAAAGCCCACATTCTCAGAGAAGTCTTAAGTCCAAAAAAACCAGCCCTCTTTGCAGTAATATCTGGTAAATATTTCACAACTGGTTTTCCTGGAAGTTTAGGAGGAACCCCTGATTTGGAAATTGCCAATTTCCATAGTGTAGATATAATTCCTGTAGCTAGTTTCAAGTTAACAGTTTAAAAACTGGCTTTTAGGGGGTTGGCAAGATGACTCAACGGTAAAAGCAGTGACTGCTCTTGCAGAGGACTCAGGTTCTGTTCCCAGCACCCACATGGTAGCTAACATAAGGTAACTCCAGTTTCAGGGAATCCTATGCCCTCTTCTGACCTCCACAGGCATTGCATGACACAGATGCACTTACACACATGCAGTCAATACACTCATACGCACATAAAAATTAATAGAATAAAAATAAACTGGATTTTAAAAATCCCTGGAATCTAATAACATCCCTCAGGTACCAGCTACACCAGTTTCAACAGACCTCTGAACAGGTATTTGACAGGCTCCACATGTAGATGCACTCAATGGAACTTAACCTTTGAAGTAAAGAACACTGTGGAAGAGGTTCCACATGGGTTCTACCTTTTTGCAACATGGAAGAGAAAGCATCTTGCAGAAGACATAATGCTCCTGGTGTCCAGACCCAGCACCAGCAGCAACAGTTGTGGGGTCTATTCCTACAGCAAAGCTGTGGGGTCCATTTCTAGGTCGAGTAGGGTCGACCTAGAGCAGACCTGTGTGCATTAGAGCACCGGATGAGCCTTTGGGCCACCTAGTGTGAACTAATTTTCCTTAATATTTCCATTTCATATCATTAATAAATCCTTTCTGTGCTTTGACTGAATTGAGTAAATCTCTTAATTGCAAATAAGGCCCCTCATTGACTGTAGTGGGCATTCTTCTGTTTCAGACTGGTAGTACCTGCAGGCATAATTAAATATTGTTTCTAGACTCTGTCTTTGGAATTTAAGACTTTCCCTGTGGTTTTCATTTAATGCCATGTGTTCCCCACTGTGGTAGTGGTGGGCAGATACTTTGCAAACTAGCATTCCTCAAGATGTAGGAAAGGTATACCTTTATATGTACAATGAAGCATCTCAGAAGAGTCTCAAAGCTTAGAGGGCATCCATCATGGACCTTTTGATAACTTCTCCCCAATAATTAGTTCCATGAACTTAGTTTTTATTCTATCATTTGCTATCTACCTCTTTCCAAGGTCCCTGAATTGCTTGTTAAAAATTGTTTCTTCCTTGTCAGACCTGAATCAGAAACTCTAGAGTAAATTTCAGGAATATTATTTTCAACCCGTTGTTTTTGTTTTTGAGATAGAGTCTCACTATAGCTCATATCAGCCCAGAATTCAAGATCCTCCTGTTTACTGAGTGCTGGGATTATAGGCATGCACCACCACATCTAGCTTAAGATTCCTGAGAGCCAAACTCTATTATTGTTACAGAAAAGAGCCCCCCTAAAAGAACACAGAATATTGCCATTCATCTTTGCTGCCTGTGATAAATAGATGCTGTGATGCTACTGCTGAAGATGCCATACACTTTGATTGCAGGACATAAAGAAATCAGTCTGGAGCTGACCAGAAAACTTCCTCTTGCTGGTTAGCTTTCTTAGTGCCAGAAGGTGCTATTCAGGTTTCTAGGGGAGAAAAGACATCAGTGATCCTTTTCAGAGTTGGACCTTGCATGATACAGTACTGACCTGCTATGCAAGATGTTCCCACTGGTATGATAGTGGCATGACCATTATGGGGGCAACCAACCACTTTCTGAATGGATTTGAATTCTGCTCCACAAGAGGGAATTCATGCCTGCTGATGTAAACTTGGTTAAAAGTCCATGGCTGTGGAGGTGCTAGGCCTTCAAGACTGAACATCTACTGTTTTTGTTTGTTTGTTTGTTTGTTTGTTTATTAAATGATCATGTTGTTAAACTGTTTTCTAAGTATTTCTGCTTATACCCATAGTCCTGGATTGCTCTCAACCTTTCTCAGAGAATCTTCTTTTTGCAATGGGCTGAAGTTAATGCAGAGACTCATAACTGATCAAAGTGCTGAGATACGTGACTGTTAAATGCTCAGCTCTAATTGGGACATCTATATCAGCATTCCTACCCCACCCGAAGGCTCAGGGAACATTGTGTGAGAGAAAAACGTAAAAGCCAGGAGATTGAGAGGAGTACTGTGAAGTGCTAGCTTCTGGACTTGACTATGACACAGCCATTGTACTCATGAACTCAAAACATCTGTGGTCACCTGAAAAAGACCTGAACAAATTAAGCCAGTCAACTTCCAGCATGGATGGGAGAGGCTCAGGAGACCCCACCTCTAGCTGGGATGAAGGAGCATAAATTTTCTATGGGGTGTGGACAATGGTGGATTGCCCTACACCCATGTGTATACGGGCAACACTAACTGGACTCAGTGGGAGGAGAAGAAAGAGGAATAGGAGGAAGAGGAAGGGGGGAGGGGAGGGGGAGGAGGAGGGGGGAAGAAGAAGAGGAGGGGGAGAAATGAAGTTGTGTTGTCAGGAAGATATGTCAGAAGGGTACGGGGGAGTTGATGGGAGGGAATGGGAAATAAATATGATAAAAACACATTGTATACATGATGAAATTCTCAAAGGATAAATTAAAATATTATATATTTTTTGAAAGGTTTAAATTTAACTTTTTTGGAAACATACTAAGGACCTGTCATCAAAGTGGTATTCATTCATGAAGAGTGGCTGAATCTTGATTAAAATAAGTGATTTTGGTGGTGTTTGAACGTATGCTGTCTATTCTTCCCTTTTCTGGAGTAGTTTGAAAGATAAGAGGCTTCAGTAACTATGGACAACAGCAGTATGGCAGCCGCTGGAGAATACAGAGAAGGCTTGAAGCACTCTCAGAATCCACCGATATGGTCTACTATTTCAGGTCCAGAAGACATAGGTTTCTCTTTATTTGGCTTGACTTGGAGCTCACTCAGTGAGAAAAATTCAATTCCCAGGGCATTTATGAAAAACAGCAGCAGTTGTTTAAAGCCAGAACTGCCGTAATCTGTGAGACCAATTGAGTCAAAGAAGAAGATGACCAAAGACCTTAGCGCAAAAATCTGGGAAGAAATTTCCTTGGGGAGCTTTCAAAGGCTCCACAATATTCCCAGGGATCAAGAGGGCCACATCCAGATGCAGAGCTGTGCACATCTGTAGCAGGTATCTAAGATCTTAATCCCTCACTTCTGAGTGTCTCTGGGGCTCTGAGCAAGCAGGCAGTGAAAGATAAGGTCGAGCTGTAAACTTCCTGAGCATTGGATGTGTCCCAATACATATACAGGACACGTTGGCAAACGGTGGAAGATTTATTGCCCAAGGGATTTAAGGAAATCCTTGTTCATTCACACCGTTGAAACAGGTACTTAGAAGCTGCTTTTGTTGAAAAGCACTGACTCCTCACTTGGGCCCACAAGGTAACTAAAAATAGAAGGAAAGGTTGTCACCTGTTCCTTCTTGTCATGCCTGTCGCCTCTGCTTTGGCTGAAGGCACAGGTAAGTCATTGCCCTTAACTTTTCCTCTCGAGTCATCTTTGAGTCCAGAACAGCAGAATGTCACAGGACGGACTACTTCCCAGATTAGCACAAGTATTCCTGAGGGTGAGGTTACATCCTACAAAGTAACCATCTCCTAAGAACCACCTTGTCCTCTCAAGCAACAAGGACAAGAACAGCCCGGAGCTGAGCTGAGACAGTGATCACACCAAACCACACCTAGGTCAGGACAGCTTGACTGGGTGTGCCTCTCGCTTCTTGCTCCAGTTCTTCCTCTCTAATGCTAAAACTCATGTCAATAGCTCAAAGACGGACTTGGGGTCACTGGACCCCTTTGCCCGTTTCTCTTCCCCAAATGGCCACATTGAATGAATCTCTTCCCTCTGCTTTCACCACTGCTCATTTCTTTAATTGATAGAATAGGGGCAAATGACCAAGCCTGGCTTGCTGGGGGACACCAGAACTTGTGCTTTACCTCTAAAAACTCCAGTAATAAAACTAGCCACTAAGCTAGTTTAAGAGCAAGTTCAGAATCACATAGAAGAAAATAGAGTACGCATAATTAGTTCATGAAAAGTATTGTTAAAAGAATGGTATTGTCAACAAATAGTACAAAGATAAGTTAAAGACCACATAGAAAAGAGTGAAGTTGGGCCGTATCTCACACCATAAAAAATTTACTCATAATGGATCATTGATCTAAATGTAAGAAGGTTTTGATAGTTAATTTTAGGTATCAAGTTGGCTGGACTAAGGGATGTCTGGATAGCTGATATCATTTCTGGATGTGTCTATGGGAGTATTTCCACAGTAGAGGTATATGACCCAGCAGTGTGAACATAGATCTGCCTTCCATAGGAATGGGAGTCCAAATTGGCTATCCACTAACAGAACAAAAAGAAATCCCCCCTCCCTCTCTCTCTTGTGTCTCTTCTATGTACATTTTATTGGTGAAATGTCATGTGTTGTTTAAACTTGTTGAAAGCAGACTCTGGAAGCAAGGAGGGTTCTCTTGTCCCAGGCTTCAATATATTTATTTCAAGTATCCTCCAAGACCCTTTGCCTGGGGATGGGCTGGCCCCTCTAGTTCTGTAACAGAGAACAAAAAGAATAGCATTTACATACATGCAGGCAAATACACTCATACACATAAAATTAAAAAATAATTTTTTAAGAAGACAGTACATGCTTGGTAATAACATTCATACAAAACTCTAAAGAATACAAACTAATCTGTAGAAAATAGTTTGATAGTGCTTACCATATAACCTGCTATTACTCTCCTAAAATAAAAATATACACACTTATATATCATTACTCATAGCAACTTTATTTGTTATAGCCCAAGTGTCTATCAGTAGCTGAAGAGATAAACAAGTAGGGTTTATCCATACAATAGAAAGATGCTTGGCAATAAAAAGGATAGACATTCAATAAAGCAGTATCAAGATAATTATGTTAGCCGGACATGGTGGTGCACACCTTTAATTCCAGCACTTGGGAGGCAGAGGCAGGTGGATCTTTGTGAGTTCAAGGCCAGCCTGGGCTACATAGTAAATTCAAACCAGCTGGGGCTACAGGGAGACCCTGTCTCAAAAAGCCAAAAAAAAAAAACAAAAAACAAAGATAATTATGCTAAGTGAAAGGAACCAGACATAAGCAGTACTTACTATAGGATTCCCTTTATACTGAAATCTAAAAATGCAAACTAATCTATAATGGCAGTAGGTTAGTATTTGCATGAACCGTAAGAGTTCCTCATATACTACTTAACCTGTAGGTCCACATGCAAAATAAATCTTGTCACTATATTAAGTCAATAATTTTTTAGATATTTTTGGCTCAACTACATGAACTGAAATCTCTCTGCCCATGAGCAGGGCCTAGAAATGAAGTGCTGTAGTAAAGTGACTCTTCCATAGAACTGTGGAGACCACTGTCTTTACAACCCCACACCCTGCCCCTTCACAGGGCTCCAGGCCACCTGGAGCAAGGCTCACATTCCCATCTTTTCCCAACTCTTCCCTCCCACAATGTACTATGCTATACCACATACCCCTGGGTTCTCCTTTCTGAGAATGCACCTGTGCCCACCCTGTTCCAGAGGTGGCGGCTCATTATCTAAAGCATTAGTTTACTTCCACTGAAGAATTTGGCAATATTTTATATGAGACCTTCTGGAGACACACACCATAGGCCAGATGGGAATTAAAGCTTGAAAATTAGGAAGAGACCCACTGCCTTTCATTGGACCACCCATGGTCTGGTCCAACAGCAATAACCAGACAGAAAGGCAGTTAGTTGTACATAATGTATTTTATTTTTCCACTTCTTTTGAACCAGAAATTTCGTACTATTTGTTGGATGAATGGATGCAGGTTACTCTGCCTGATTAAGTATTGGCAGCATGGTAGCAGTTCTGCCATCAACACACTCAGCTTTAGCAGTAAAGATGTGAATTGCCACAGTAATTTTTCTTGTGAGCTAATGGCGTCCATGAAACAACTTTCACAAGGAGAGAGTCTGGCTGAAGACATACAGTGCACACGAAGTCTTCAGGGGTTCTTGAACTACCTCAGAGCATTGCCACTACCTCTACTATAAAACATGTCCTTGGGGAATGAATATACGTGTGCATGTGTTTGTGTGTGTGGTGGCTATGTAGGTACATGTTCATGTACGTATGTGTGTGAGCTATATATATGTACATGTTCATGTGTGTATGTGTGTATGTGTACATGCATCTGGAGTCCTGTGGTCAATGCCTATTGTCTTCCTTAATAACTTCTCTACCTTATTTTTCTGAAATGGGGTCTCTCACTGAACCTGAAGCTGACCATTTGGCTAGACTATCTAACCAGCAAGGCCCAGGGGTCCTCCTGTCTCCATCTCCCTAGTTCTGGGATTCAGGCATACATCCCCATGCCTGGCTCTTTACACAGGTGCTGGGAATCAACCTCAGGTCCTCATGCTTGTGCAGCAAGCACATCATTCACTGAACCATCTCCCTGGCTCATCTTTGGGCTTTTTGACCAGGCCTCTACCACTGAGCTTAGAACTCTAAAATAAAGGTGTTATTGAAAATAACAAATACTCCTCCACATATATGAAAAAGGGAAAGTTAAATTGCCTAGAACTGTTAGTGAATGTTTCAGGACTTTTCACACTTTTTTTAAAATTCATTTTTGCTAAGAGTCTAAGCTACTTTCCCATATCTCTAACTACATTAGTTGCCATGGTTTTTCAGTTTTTGCTACTTCTGAAATAAACAGCCCATTAGATTTATGTCATTGTTAATTTGTTTCTTTGTACAATACAGATGGATGATTTACAGCTTGAAACCAGCATGGGTTATCCTAAGTGTCCCGCAGTGAAAAGCTGGCATGGTAATAGTTTAACAACACGTATAACAAGGTCAGTTCCCGTGGCTTCATGAGAAGGTAAGTATTCTTTTTAATTAGTATGTCAATTCTATCTATATGCTTCTATAGTTTTTAAAGACAGCTGATTTTATGAATTGTTTGTACATTTCAGTATTATTATAGACAAGATCCCTTTTTCACAGATAATGTAAAAATTAAAATTATCCAAGTGTTCCCCGCAAACCCACAAATTCTGAATCAAGACCATATTCCTTTTCGGTGTCATAGAAACTAGTTGCCCAAAATCTTCATGCTGAGAACTTCCCATCCACACTTACCACCTCCATTTCTAACTCAGACCCTGGCATGCAATTCTTGCCAGTCAATTGAAAGTAGAGATTCTGCTAATTCATCTTTGTAGCACTAGCACCTACCATAAGGTAGGTAGAGAAGTATTCTTTCTGAACAGTATGTAATAGGCTAATGCAAACTTTCCACACCTGGGCATACAAAGTTTTTAAATATGTTGAAATAAATAGAACCAAAATATTTGTGAAATGAATAGTAATTATACCATTATTATTTTGTCTGTGTGTAGTGATCATAAAGGGAAATTTAAAAGGCTGAAAAGGAACGAAGATGAGATATTTTAATCTTTGTAGTTCTATTCAATTTCCAAACTGTATTTCTGAGGTAAATTCTCATTTACAACTTTGTAACTCTATACTCACAGAAGGGAATTACCAGGCATTGCTGAGGGTGGTCCTCTTCAGAAGAGCACGAGTCTCTCCCCACCTCTTTTCCTTGTTACCACACTCATCTTCAGAGGATTTGTGTATTACTTTTCTCATTGCTGTGACAAATTACCTGACAAAAAGCAAGTTAAAGGATAAAGGGTTTATTGGGGGTCACAGTTCGAAGTGAAACAGTCCATGATGGCGAGGAAAGTCTGTCAGCAGGAGTCGAGGCTGTTAGTCCCTTTGGGTCCACAGTCAAGATGCAGAGAGTTATGGATGTCACTGCTCAGCCCCTCTCTCCTTTTTTATTTACTCTGGGACCCCAGCCCACAGAATGGTGCTGTCTGCATTTAGAGTGAGTCTTCCAGCCTCAATTAACCTAATCTAGGGATGTAGCTAAATGGCATATTTAAGGAAAATATGCATTTTGATTCTTGCTTTCTCCCTCTGTCTCTGTTGGCAAAGCTCAGCTGATCAGTTTGTGGATAGATTGGTAACACAGCATGCAATTTGTGGCCACGTGCCCTGATGAAACTCCAACTCTATTTGTCTCAGATGGAGACTTCTGCGTTGATTTTCAGATGAGATTCTTTTTCTAAATGTATAATAATTTGCCTAATTTTGGGACTGTAGTGATAACCTATCAATATGTAAGCTTCCCTTGCACTGTAACTGTCTGCCTAGGTATAAAAGATGAATACTTCCTCCTTCCAGGTCCAGACTTTGAGACTTAAGTCCTCTGGAGCAGACTGAAGCCTAAATAAACCTGCTTCCTGCATCTCCTGGTGTCTTCTTATCTGTTCTGCAACACTAGAAATTCCCTCACAGATATGGCTGGAGATGGCTGACCATCACAATTTGCACATGTTTCCTCCAGAATATGGCCTTTGTTCTTTTTAAGGACCCACTACATGCTTCAAGGTATCTGACTTCCCTTGTCAGAGTATTTACTACACCACATACTACTTATTTGCTTAATCTTCTGTCCCCCTCTAATTAAATCAAATTCCACGAAGGTAGCCTTGCACTTGGCTGGGTCACCTGCACCCCTGCTCCAGGTCTGGTACACAACATGTGCTCCACGAACATTCTGTGTGGATTCATCGGTCATTCAGTCTTCCCAGAGCATATTTAAAGAGCCTCAGCAATATCAAGGTGGAACAACACTGACTGCCAAAATGCTTGTCAATCTAATTGGACATGAAAATAGATTAACACAAAGTTTCCACACTGAATACTTAACTCAGTGTCATAGGCTCCGTCCAGCATGAGTGGAAAGAGATTCATTGGTACTCAGCAATAAGCCATAGAGGAAACAAAAAGAGAGAGATGATACAATTTGTTTGTTCTTGCCATTAGTTTCCCATGATACATTTTTAAAATATTTTATTTATTATTTTTATTTTATATGTAAGAGTATATTGCCTGCGTGTACGTTAAGTGCAACTGTGTCGTGCAATGCCCATGGAGGTCAGAAGAAAGCATCAGATCCCCTTGAACTGGAGTTACAGATAGTTGTTAACCACCATGTGGGTGCTGGGACTCAAATCCGGGTTCTCTGAAAGAGCATCCAGTGCTCTTAACTGCTGAGCCTTCTCTCCAGCCTGCCCCCATTATACATTTTAATGGAGTTGCTAGTGAAGGAGGGGAAAGGGCCTGACTTTCCTCTCCCTCTTCTGTCTTCTGCCTTCTAGACTCTTCAAGAGGAGCTGACAATAGCCAGAAGAATGAAAAAGAAAGGGCATGAATAATCCCCGCTTCAGCTTTGGTTCTCAGCTTCTGACACAGGATCAGAGCCGTGGCAGGCTGAACAACCTGGGGAGCCAGTACTCAGGCTCTGTAGCTCTGGTACTGGACCCCCTGCTTGCCTCTCCACGGAAGACCAGGGATGCTATGGGACATGAGGTTCTACCGCATCAGCATCACTGGGTGTCAGCTCACCTGGACAGAGTGAAACTCTAAGTTGCCAAGTTACTATAGTCATTGTTACACTTTTCAGTGGAAGTGCTCGTGTTTGATCTATATCAGTGAAGACTGCTTTTTCTACAAGCTTGTCACTGCGTGTGATGCCTCAATTATATACACAGCCTCTGGCAGCACAGTAAGGCTGAATCTCTGCCCAAAATCAAGAGATGCCAAAGCAAATTAAAGCTGTGCTTAAGTTGACGTGACGAGTGGTTTACACCGATGTCTGACTCTAAACTCTTTCCTTACGTCTATCATTAATTTCCAACAAGACTGTAAACCTGAAGTGATAGCAACATCGCCCTCCTCTTCCTTCTTAAACCCCACCCTATCTCTGATCACCAAAATCCGCCCTGATCCCACTGCATCACACAGTATTGATCAGCGGATTCTGGCAGAGAGAAGTGGAAGCACCACAGGATACCTTCCATTTCCAAGCAGAATCCAGAGAAAGCATCACTCCTCTGACAAATGCTCGTGTTTGGGCACTCCCAGCCACCCCCAGGTGGTTCATATGCACACCCAGTTGGAGAGTGACACTTTCCAGTCTACAGCAGCTGCTCCACTGAGCCACTCTCACAAGGTTGTCTCTGCTAAAAGCCAAGACTTTATGGTGATGCCTACAGATTTACAGAACATGTTCAGAGACAGCTTTCCAAATAAGGAGGCTTCCAACTGCAGATCTTGGGATGTCGTGATGGATCCAAGCCTGCCTGCAACTCTGGGCTTCTCTATTCAACACACTTTGTGGGAAAGTCTTTTGTTATAAATGTCAGATGCCTTTCTTAAGCTCAGACACTTAAGGAGGGACCTCCTGGCTGTTGCCAAGAATGTAAGTGTACTTCTCTCTGGGTAGGAAGATACCAGTGAGATAGCCACCACCATTCCCAAATGGAATGAGTCTACATTTGGGAAAGCTGAAAATAAGGACTAATGCTAGACTGCTGATCTATGTTTGGGGAGATATGGAAAGGAGGCATAACGGTTCTTCTTGGGACTAATTCAACTTTGTAAGGAGTAATGTGTTTCTTAAGAAAGGTAAATCATCTTTACTATAGAAATACAGCCAAGCATAGGAAAATCTATTCTCCAAAAGCAATCAGGTAAGATTTACAGCAGTTCCTCCTCCTTCTCTCTCTCACTCTCGCTCTCTCACTTGCTTTTGTGTGTGTGTGTGTGTGTGTGTGTGTGTGTGTGTGTGTGTTTCAAGTTGTATTATTTTGTAATGGGTATTTTAGCTAATAAAACTGCTATGAGTCAATATTTTGTACATTTTTACAGACCACATGTACGGGTCAGAGGACAACTTGCAGGAATCCTTTCTCTCCTTCCATGATGTGAGTTCCAATGAGAACTCATTGGGCTTGGTGATAAGTGACTTTACCCACTCACTGGCTCCCCATAAGGACTCTGAGTTAGATACTGTAAGATTTCCCCATTTTATAAATGGAACAGTGGAGATGCAGAGTGATAGATGGTACTCATCTTCTGTTCCCTTTATTCTCCTCCCTTCCATCCTCCTCCCCACAAGCAGACATGACTTCAGTCACCTTTCTCAGATCTCTACAGTCCAGCCCAACTAGGTCCTGAAAGAACAGTCCTCAGGAGAGCTTGTTAGGGCCCTCTCTGCCAGAGCAGAGCAGGTGTGCCTAGCCACAGCCTCAGGTTCCTGGCACAGCCTCCTGCTACTCTGCAGTCCTGTGTGTGTCAGTTTCACAGAACTGAGGGACCCAAAAGTAACAAGCCACAGCCACCATCTTGAGTTTTGTTAGCACCGGAAAGCACATTACTGTATTTTCTCTTTACATGGAGGTATTTAGTCTTCTTTCCTGCATTTTGGCTCTTGTGGTTTTTTTCCCTCCCATCCCTCTTCTCTCGAAGTCTGTTTCGCTTTTCTGCTTGTCTTTGTAACTGTGCTTCTGCACCTTTCTCCTTCGGCTCTGAGGTTCGCTGCAGCTCTGCTCCATCTCACTCCAGTCCCCTCCACCAGCGAACTGTCGCTCAGCTTCATTTGCAGTGGGCACAATAGAGCCTCTTCTTTTTTCCCTAGGTCTAACATGCTCGTTCAAAGTTATTCCTCGCACATAGAAAAGCCAATGACACCAACATTGACCAATCCCAACTGTACGTAAAAAAGAGATGGCAGGAAATCATCCTATCTGGAGACGTCTGCTAGCTCCTCTGCCACACACACACACATGCCCCTAACCAAGTCATGCCATCTTCTTGACTTCCAACCTGTCCGCATTCTTCTCCCATGACTCCCACTTCTCATTTATCCCCCAAATCAATGTGATGTTGCTGAGCTAAAAGGCTTTTCCTAGAGCTTCTCAGGCAGTTTTGCTTAACCACACAGGTTATACCCCACAAATGCAAATACAAGCAGTGTGTACAAAAAGATTACAATGCACCCTACAGGTGCCATCTGGCTCATTTCTGCTTAGCTTTTAACAAAGGCCCAGGTATTCCAGAGAGACTCCGTGGCAGTCCAACCTGCTACCTAGAAACCAGGCTTTTTCACTTGTTATAAACAATTGAAACTTAGGAGTCAGGCCATTGCCAGTAGTTCAGAGTGAGGGCTGTGGGGGACCAAACGCAATTCCTTTCGCTTTCTGGGCTGAGTCTCCAGCAAGGTTGGCGGGGGGCGGGCCTGGCTTCCTTTTCTCTTGATTATATTCTCAATGTCTTCAGTTTCTTCTGTTTATTCTGCACTTAACTTACCCTAATTTTTACATGGATACCAATCCAAGATTCCAATGATTTTTCAAAATGTACTCACTAATTTTGATTGTTAATTCTAGTTGTCAAGTCTATTAGAAGAAGGAATACCTAAAAACGTGGGAAAGCATTATTCTGAGTATCTGAGGATACTTGCAGAAAAGTTTAGCATGTGAGTCTGTGGATTTGGTGGGGAAGACATGTCTTCAATGTATGTGAGAACCATCCAGTAGGCTGGGGCCTGGATAAAGCAAATACAGGAGCTGAGCTAGTGCCCCTCCCGCCCCTCCTGAGAGCTAGCGTGCACAGATCTCTTCCCTGGGCCTCAGAGCTGGAGATTCATGGGCCTTCATATTTCAGGACAGTGGCCTCTCACTGAATCTTCAGTTTTCAGCCTCACTCTGAGTTATAACATCTGTCTCCCTGGTTCTGAGGTCTAGTGACTTG